AATATCAAGGACATGTGGAACTGAAATACGTTTTTCTGGTTTTTCCTTAAACAGCCGATGTTTGTTCTTTCAAAATTGTCCGACAACGAGCGGTAGAGTTGACCACTTACTTAAGTAAAGCTGAACTGCATCACGTCATTAATGGTGATATACAGTTGTTTTACATTCTGTAGTTCGACTTGAAGTCATGTTTGCATCTGTATGAGTACGTCATAGATTTCCCACTCTCTAGGCTTCTGATTTCTGTCTACACTGTCTGCCATGTTTGTGTTTCATTCACTAGCTGTCACTAAAGTTGATTGTATTGATCTGTCGTTCTCGTTGATATTTTGTCTAGCTTGTAGTTACCATGTACAAATGCAGTTGCTACATTTGATTCGATGCATCAAAAAGTTCTTTGGGATTTTGGAGCTTTAAGCCATTGTTTGCGTTTCATTCACTAACTGTCACTAAAGTTGATTGTGCTGGTCAGTCGTTCTCGTTGGTGCTTCTAATTACTGTGTATATATGCAGTTGCTTCATTTTATTCGAGACATCAAAACGTTCTTTGAGATTTTGGAATTTCATGTGAGTGGTATCAAAGATGAGATTCGCCCCTCTATCACCTATAACATAACAATGGCGTTGTCATTATATTCTGAGATTTTTTCTTGAATTTAGGACTACATTGATAATTTCTGCGCTTGCAGTCGTGAGTTGAACTATTCTCATGCGTTATTGAGTAGTTCTGTCCATCATAGGTCTTCTGACATTTGTATATCAAGGCACAGTTGTACCTGTATCAAATTGTATACGAAAGAATCAATAATTCCCATAACTCCTGAAAAGCCTGTAGCATTGTTTGGTATTGAACCCGGTGCTCCCTGAATTTGATTACTTTTAAGGAGAAATAGTGAATAAGGTTGCATAAAACATCTTCTAGGATTCCACAGTGTGATGTTTGAGACTTAATTGTTAAAACTTATGAAGCGATTGACATAATCTAAATTAATAGAAAGAAATTTTAAAATGTAATCAGTTTTGCGTTTCTGAAACCATATAAAGTGCACTTTCCGCATGATGTCTTTTGACGGACTGGTCAGATTTTGACGAAACATGGCTGGTACACGTGGTACCTTAATCGCTTGCCAAATTTCGATTAACGGTGAATTCCGCGCATCTTTACTCACTATATGGGTAATCTCTATGCACATTATCTTATGAATGAATTTAAGGAAACATGCTTTTTAGACTTATTACTTATTCAGGTTTGATTATCGGTCAATTATATGCATATTCTATTGGACTGATGTGACCTGATTGGCCGGTATCTTCTGACACTCAAACTGACTGCTTTCCGCACGCTATCTTCAGAAGTAATTATGATGAGACTTGCTTGGTAGAATTGTTACCTTAACCCCTTGTTTAAACTTGATTATCGGTAAATTCTATACATATATAATGAGGCTGTTCTGATCTGATTAGTCGATATCTTTTCCAGTTTTCCATGTTGCACACTTTCAATGTATATTTTTCATAAATTCATAAATTAAAGGATTTTGATGCCCATGTCCTTGTTGTTTTTACAGTGTTATTTTGTTGTCACATGGTAGGTCTAATTTGGAGTGCTTCAAATTTATCTAATTTGGGTAGGATAGGTGAGTAAATGAAATTATAACCGGTATATTATGTATTCTGCTTCCACTAGTGTTTTACCAATGGTACTGATATCGACATACTGGTCTATTGTTATCCTGCGGTAGTGTGTTTGTTTCCTTTCTTTATATAACACAGGATATATTTGGAATGAAACAATTATCTTATAATATTCTCAGGTTAATTGATTTTATTAGGTATGCTATTGGTCGAATTAATATGAAAGAATTATGTGTCAGAGCAAATTACTGTATTGTGTAACTTCAAGATTTATTTTTCTATCCTCTTAACAAATCTCTCCATGTTCCTGTTTACATATTAATTGTTGTCTTAGCTTTCATTAATGTGTTGTTGTGTGATGGTAGGTATGTGGTTTTGTTGTGTGATGGCAGGTATATGGTTTTGTTGTGTGATGGCAGGTATATGGTTTTGTTGTGTGATGGTAGGTATATGGTTTTGTTGTGTGATGGTAGGTCTATATGGTTTTGTTGTGATGGTAGGTCTATATGGTTTTGTTGTCTAATGGTAGGTCTATTGTGTTGTTGTCTGATGGTAGGTCTGTTGTGTTGTTGTCTGATGGTAGGTCTATTGTGTTGAAGTCTGATGGTAGGTCTGTTGTGTTGTTGTCTGATGGTAGGTCTATGGTGTTGTTGTCTGATGGTAGGTCTATTGTGTTGTTGTCTGATGGTAGGTCTAACGTGTTGTTGTCTGATGGTAGGTCTAATGTATTGTCTAATGGTAGGTTTATATGATTTTGTTGTCTAATGGTAGGTCTATTGTGTTGTTGTATGATGGTATGTCTGTTGTGTTGTTGTCTAATGGTAGGTCTATTGTGTTGTTGTCTGATGGTAGGTCTATTGTGTTGCTGTCTAATGGTAGGTCTATTGTGTTGTTGTCTAATGGTAGGTCTATTGTGTTGTTGTCTAATGGTAGGTCTATTGTGTTGTAGTCTGATGGTAGGTCTGTTGTGTTGTCTAATGGTAGGTCTATTGTGTTGTAGTCTGATGGTAGGTCTGTTGTGTTGTTGTCTTATGGTAGGTCTATTGTGTTGTTGTCTGATGGTAGGTCTGTTGTGTTGTTGTCTGATGGTAGGTCTATTGTGTTGTAGTCTGATGGTAGGTCTGTTGTGTTGTTGTCTGATGGTAGGTCTATTGTGTTGCTGTCTAATGGTAGGTCTATTGTGTTGCTGTCTAATGGTAGGTCTAACGTGTTGTCTGATGGTAGGTCTAATGTATTGTCTAATGGTAGGTCTGTTGTGTTGTTGTCTAATGGTAGGTCTATTGTGTTGTTGTATAATGGTAGGTCTATTGTGTTGCTGTCTAATGGTAGGTCTATTATGTTGTTGTCTAATGGTAGGTCTATTACGTTGTTGTCTAATGGTAGGTCTATTGTGTTGCTGTCTAATGGTAGGTCTATTGTGTTGTTGTCTGATGGTAGGTCTATTGTGTTGCTGTCTAATGGTAGGTCTATTGTGTTGTTGTCTGATGGTAGGTCTGTTGTATTGTTGTCTAATGGTAGGTCTATTATGTTGTTGTCTAATGGTAGGTCTATTATGTTGCTGTCTAATGGTAGGTCTATTGTGTTGCTGTCTAATGGTAGGTCTATTGTGTTGTTGTCTGATGGTAGGTCTGTTGTGTTGTTGTCTGATGGTAGGTCTATATGGTTTTGTTGTCTAATGGTAGGTCTATTGTGTTGTTGTCTAATGGTAGGTCCATGAGTTGTTGTCTGATGGTATTGTTTGGGTTTTTTAAGTCATGCTGTCACATGTCCTGTTCTGTTATAAATGTGCCTCATCCTATTCTGTAGATCTCTAAGGACAGTTAAGGCAAATTTTGGTTGTTATGGATACTCTCATTTTGTCTCAGAAAGTCAATTTGTTGCCAGCAGAATGGTTCACTTCCTGTTTAAAATACTGTTCAATCCATGATTGATAAGTTATTTTAACTAAAACAAAATAAAATAAAAACAACAAAAGACTGATGTCATTCTTTAAGAGTTCATTTGTACAAAACTATCCAGTGGCCTCTGTACAACAATGGTTAAACAGAACACTGATAGTCTCCGTCATTCTTTGGTATCTTGTACAAGTTAACCTTAACCTACCAACATGTTAACAGAGCATAGTTAACCTAGTTAATATCACCTAACCTGGTTAACAGCAGCTAACTGGTTAACAATAGTCACCAGTTGCTAACTACCTAACTCTGTCTAAACATGTACACATGGTCAATACAATTTATTTAATATAAAAAACTATATGGAAAAAATGGAAGACATTACAGATGAAGCGATGTAGAACTGTTTCACAAAAATATACATAAAATAACATTTCATTAATATTTACTGTTTTTGTTCTGAATGATGTTTATCAAGAAGGTGACAAGATTTTGGACAACAAGTCTGATGGTCAAAATTTCCTCTACTTTCTTTATGTTTTTTTTTTTTAAATTATTCACATAAAGTTTCATTATCTTGGTCTCCAAAGCTTGAGTTCGCTAGTATATTCCTTTGGTGAAATAGAACAAAAATAGTAAATATTAAAAATAAAAAAAAAACATGATGCTAAAACATTGAGAGTAAAATCTATTGCAAATGACATGTTTGTAGAAGCTCTGTTAAAATTCAAACCATATTTTTTTTACATCACTGTCCATTCTAATTATCTCTGCAAATAACAATTTTGCAGATCAACGAATAACTTTCCACTAAAGCAGGAAAACATTGCATTTTTATCAAATTTTTCGCTTTGTGTGGGAATTAAAATCCTACATTGTCTTTTATGCTTCACCCAATGTTAGCATTTACTTTACAGTCATCATGCTATATTACTGTATCATGTATTTCACTGTGTTCCTAAGTACTATAAAGTGTAATGAAAATGAGGCTATGATGGATATATAACATGGTGAGATAATGAATAATCTCTACAGAGAATGTCCTTTATCAACTCACTCTTGCTCCCTTGTATACAGGAAATTTGTTAGTACTATGATAATTCTATTATTATGCTTTATAAAACATTTTGTGCACAATATGATTAAGCACTAATCTTACTGGCAAGACACAGTCAACATCTTACTAAATATCTATAGCAATCAAAACATCTGTCCTTTTGTATTTTGAAAATAATACTGAAATATCCTTTTTCAGTTCTTTTTTTTTTCCTCCTTTTTTTTTTAACAAATCTTCATACCAAAAAGGCTTCTGTTTCAATTTTTTTTTTATCTTAATTAAAAGACACCCACTTAAAAATGAAACATCCCAGAAACTATATCATAGGAGTTCAAACCAAACCAATCTGTAAATCCTTCGTAACAAACCTGATTGAAACTCTCCCCCCCCTCTCCCCCCCCTCCCCCACCCCTCACTCCAGGCCCCCTTGCTATATACATAAATTTTCATTGTTTAGTTATAAACCAACCAGTGTACAAAGATGCAGTTTATGATGTTCAAATGACATAAAACATTTTGAACTAAGCATAATACTAAATTGTACAATTAAAACATTTTAAATATTTTTTATAACGTTCAATGCCTACAGCCAAGAACATCAGATAGCCATGACATATCTATAACATTAAGCACTAAAAGGATAGCTTTACATGCACTGTACATCGAGTTGGTGTTTCAACAGACAGTAGTGTATAACAGCTTGTACTTGTTAACAGATTCTCAGGTGTCCTATACACTACTATAACATCACACAGTCTATAACCTAACACACAGTGACAGGTGTTTCAACAAAGGTGCTGTACCAATACCAACATTGTCAGGCAAGTTTTTAAAACCATTGTCAAAAATTCAGTGCAAAGTGTTTTAAATGTATCTGTGTAAAAGAATATTTTCCAACTGTAAATAGTTTATTTTCAAGGAAATTTAAGTTCTGTTTTTATTCTGAGTAGAATAGTGACAATGAAGATTTCAATTTAAGGTGTTAAAACATTGCACATGGTTTAAGGTGTGTTGTAAACATCAATGTTTCTTACTACCTATAAAGATGGATGATTAGAGAAAAGTGACCTTAAAGGAAAGTTGCTTTTCATATAAATGTTTAATTTCTATGAATTGTATTCTATATTGTATATGGGGACCCCAATAAGAGCGATCTTAAAAAATCAGGTATTTATCATATACAGGTGGCCTTTTTAGACAGGACTTTGTTATACAGAGTTAACCTCTATAGACAGGTATGTTATAAAGAGGTGGTCTTTACAAACAGGTCTGATTGTATTGCATTGTTTTGTTTCTACTTATATACTCTTTCTAATCTTGATAAATAATTAAATCTATATTGCCAAAGTAGAGGATTAAAAAGTATAGTAATGACAAATAATTTACCATTATAACAATCAGAAGTGATACACTAAGGTAAGTAAAACAATACCAGCCGAATTGTTTGGACTCCAAACTACAATACATGTACACTTTAGACATTTAATTATCGTTAAAGCTACTAGAAGTTTGAAAAGAAATTCTAACTTCAAAAAATATGTAAATGAATAGTTACCATTGCACTGAATGTTAACAAAGAATTTTAACATTTATCATATTTCCTTCACATACAAAAGTGTAAAAACAGTGTAACTTACTAGAAATAACATCTTCATATTCAAATTCTCAAGCATTGTATTGATTACCATGTCTAATAAATATAACAATGCTGTCTCTATTACAATAAGTTAAAATTAAGCCTAGGTTCAAAGTTGGCTGTTTTGACCCAAATAAGTCAATCTTGAGGACCACGGAGTTGACAGTACCACATATCTATTATCTGTGGTTAATGAAGAGTCTGAATTTATGGACTTTTCAGAATGAAAAAATTCACCATTATCCATACAAGACCAACCAGTTTTGCAATAAATTCCATGAAATAGGTAGTTCATGTTTAAGATATCTCTAATTATGATCGGCATGAGCTTCAAAAAAGTATTTTCTTTAACGAAAGAATGCGAAAAATTGAAAAAAAAAATACAAACAGCTGATGATATCACATACAGAGAAACGACTGTTCAACAGGTAAAGCTTCATTATAACAATGATATATACTGATATACTGATATCTATACAGGAAACACCTACGAAATATACAATGAAAGAGCACTGGCAGGATATAAACAAGACCATGATAACAAGCTGTCAATTAAAGTTACCATGGTTACCATCTATCATAAAACCATGGCAATTAAACAAGTATTTAAAGTAAAACCATAGTAACACATCAATCAGGTATGAAAGAAAAAAAGCTGGCAAAAAATTAGGAAACTAATGCTATAGACAAAATTGTAAAAACCTCTTCGAATGTCAACAGGCCAGTTTTATGCGTGTATTCCAACAAAAAGAAAAACAATTTAGAATCGTCAATAAGCACTGCTGCGGCCAGTCTCACCCATAGACAGGTCTGGAACACTGGCACGTAGCCGCTCATTCTGCATCCATGATATCAGATTTTGGTTAGCACTACTAATCTCTTTGCCGCCGCCCGGTTGAAGGCGTTCCCAAGCCGTCATCTTCGGCTCCTCTTGTGGTTTAGACAGTGTTTTGAGAGCACGAAAATGTTCATCATTTGTACTGCCCACTGTGTGTCTACGCTTTGTCCTTTTCACTTTTCGTGCCGGTTCTGGACTTGATGACCTTGCCTTTAAAGCTTTATCTCCACATATCTCAAAAGTTCTCAAAAAACCTGTGGGTCTCTCAGCACCGGATGTATGACCGTCCTTTACCTGTTTGGACAAAGACACGTTCACTTCAGTTTTTTCAGACTTTGAGATTGGTCGTACGTCACGACCATTGTCTGCTTTGGCAATGCTCCTGCTTTGTGATAGAGCTGATGGAGAGTAGTGGCGACCTGACCTGTCAAGGATAGTCACAGGAGAAGGGTTCACAACCATGTATGTGGTACGTGGTTCAGTGGCAAGACCTGGGTAAGGAGACCCGGACACCAAACTTGGTGACCCACCCATGTTCTCTCTGCTGTTTGTCAGGACGACACTGTTTGTGGGAGTACGCTCAAAGCGGTATGCAATACCAATCTTGGCCTCACTTTTCTGTACAGGAGATCGATGCAGGCTAGGATCTCGGTATTGCTTTTCTAGCATGTCATTACTGCTACAAAGACCAAATTTATTGCACAGCGCTAGAGGAAGCTGAGGTGGTAAACGCAAGTGAGCGTTATTCTCTTTTTCACTTTTTTCACTACGTTCACTTTTGTCACTGGCAACAGAGGCTGAACCATCACTCTTGTTCAGCCGACTGGTACTACCATTCAGTTTATACTTTGGATTTACCAAGACTTTCAGCTTTTGATCAAACGTAGATGTCAAGTCGCTAAGAAGATCAGACCCATCCTCTGAATCAGATGAATTGTAACCATAGACTTTTTTATCCTGTCTATCTAATAGGTCAATCAAAGAATCTAATGATCCTCTCCTCACTGAATTACTACGACTCAAGTTTCCACGAGAACGTCGTATATGTTCACCACTCTCCCGAGTTGCCCAGCGAGGTTTTTCTGAACCTCTTTTGGTCGTGATTCTGGCATACTGCCTCGGTTTAGTTTCCTCCTCAATCTCCAACATTGTTTCTAAGGAATTGGTTCGTTTAGTTGGAGGAATCTTAGCACTATTAACACTTTGTATCACAAAATATTTTCCTCCAGGTTTAGGGTCCTTAAAAACTTTTTCTCCACTGGCATTTGAGGGGGGCACACTACCGTTGTGGTCTGATGCAGTTCCGTACTTGAGCCAGGATGGACCTGCATGTACATCTACACCAGAAGAAACACTTGAGTAATCAGACGTGGCCGAGCCTTGTCTCACATGGCCGCCAGGCTGATGTCTGTGAAGTTCAGTAGCTGAATGCCATACAGAGGGAGAGTTGAGTAAATCATCCACATTCTGACTATCTTCATATTCAATTTCCTTTTTTGTTCTTTGTATGTCCTGTTCGACTTTTTGTCGTTCCAATTTTCTCCTTTCGAAATCTCTCCTTCTTTTTTCCTCCTTTTCCCGCAGAGATCTTGCTTCCTCTTCAATTTTACGGAGACGATCTATCGTATCACGACTTACACTGAAACCACTACTGAGGCCACCATGGGAAGATAACTCCATTTCATCATTTTTATCAAGAGAATCCTCAGAGTAATGCCTTGGTTTTATTATCATACTTTGAGATTGTCGCTCTGAATCTATGTATTCCCAATCAGGATCTAATATCTCCTGCGACTTTGCCATCCGGCGATCACTTGGATTTTCTGTTTTACGAACAACAACCTGGATTTGTTGAGGCATTGTCTTCAGGACAGTAGTGAGATTCGGGCTACTCTGGGTTGTCTCATTTTGCGTCTTTATGCGGTGTTTAGCTACCTCTTGATCAATATTGCGCTCCCGGTATGGAGGTGTCGGTGCTTGGCTAGAGTCAACCTCATCTGCTCCCTTCACACGATTTTTCGCTGCTTGTACAAATGATGAGACAATATATTTTGGATTGCTGGCATTGTCTGGAAAACAAAATAAAAAAAGTCAGTGAGTCTAAAAGGAAAGTAAAGATAAACTTACACTTCTATGTAATAACGTGACAAAAAGCATCTGATAATTTTTTTCTCAGGAAAGCGTAAGGTTAATATCACTTACATCTTCACTGTGAAACCTTACATTCCATTGCAAAAATATATAAAGAGAGTGTTAACCTGTGTAAAAATATCAAATCTTTCACTCCTCTTGTTGAAATATATTTTTTATAAGAAATGAAGAATCTTCTCTAGACTTTGCATTACTGTTGATTTGAAGCTTTGAATTCTTCCTGAAATAAACTTAGAGGGCTAACAAAAATGTTTACTAAAAGTGGAAGGTGGGTTTATTACAAGACGATGAAAGAGTCTTCGCTAGTTTTTTCATTGAACATTAACAAAGGTTGGTGGGCTTAATACTGAGCATTACTGTTATCATTACATTATTAATAGCCCGTCAACGTACAAAACAAATGTTAAAAATCTCACAAAAGATCAAAATGGTAAATTACATCCTTTCATACAGATCAACATTTCAGATAACCTAAAATCTTATAAATCTTAACAGTTTCAAAAATGTTCGTTAGACATGAAATATTAAAATTCCAACATTTTCTAGTATGTTGAAGGTTGATGCAGTCTTATAGAAAATCTCTGACTGTAAATGGTTCATCACATGCTATGCACTGATTATTAACTTCGCCTTTCAGCATATATGTGTAAGGTGAGTATGGCCCATCCGATGGAATGTCTGTTGGATATATATGGTAACGAAAAATAAAATTTCAAAAGTTTAAAAAAAAATAACTCACAGAATTTTTTTTGCATCAATATTAATGCTGCATAGCTGTAACACAATAAAATCCTGAAATTTTACCACAGAGAACCCAAGTACTGTTTTGGCAGAAAAATAATAAAAGTGAGATTTTTATACAATGACAGATGCGATATAGCTCTCTTATACAGATCCGACAAGATTTAAACTAGTTGATTTAATTCTTTATCTCAAGAAAACAGTTCTTTAGAGTTAGAACTATCAAAAACTTTTTGCAAATCTTACCATCATCATCACAAGACATCTTGGAAAAAGAGGTGTTGGATGGCCGAGAGTTTTCTTCATAATTCTCATCCGAAGGGACATAACTGTCCTGGTCCCAAGAGCTGAAGAACCACTCATACTGTAAAATATAGAAATACCTAGTAAGTAGTGATAGAAAAAACAGCTAAGTTAAGTATGAAGTGATTTAGAAAATACTACGATGCCAAAGTGTAGTGATTCACAACTGTCAATACAACAAATTTTTACTCCAGCAGGAGCAATGTCAAAGAAATTTTAGGATTAAAAAGAATGAAATACTACAGGGAGAATCAAGAAATGATTTTGTAGTCATGTTCACTTTTCATAGCTAAAATGTCTTAATAGTTGCCATGGTAATGTTCAGATATATCGACAAAGATTCTTCACTTACATGACATATGATGCTCTCCACGATACGACACTGGTCTGACATGTCCTTAACAATGGTTGCCATATCATCGTTGTTTTGACGAATCAGAGTTGGACCAAACATCAGAGCCAAATTTCTTGTGTCCATCTACAAATAATAAACATCAGTGTAATGTTAAGATCTATTACAAAATCTAACAGCTGATTGACATTTCCAACAACGCAATTTCAATTAAAAAAAATCTCTAGGCTTAGAAAAAACTCTAAGTACAGGCAAGCATCATCAAATTAATGTTAAACATAGTCACTCTACCTTGTTTGTTTGATCATAGGAGGCAACTTTGTTGAGATGCTCAGCCAAGTGTCTGAACGTCTCGAAATGATGCTCAGGAAGTTCATGAAGCAATTTCTTAACCTTGAGCATGCGTCGCTCTGGGTTCTCTGTCCTGTTGGCGTTTATAAAGCTCTGGTACAGATCTGGGGATACATAAATGTATATATTTACCAGATGCCTTGCATAGAATATTACAGAATTTTTTTCATTGATCGAACAAACATTAAGTAACATTACTTATTTTCTGACTTCCTAAATAATCAAATTTTATTAAAGATTATTCCAAAGAAGAAACAGTGTTCCTATAAAATTATCCCAAATATCGGTAGTTTATAATATTGCTGTGTGCAGAAAGACATAATTATCTCCCTTGGTAGACAATATATACATATAATGCCACCAAATCATTTATTTTAACATCTAAGTATTGGTGTCATTCTAAAATCTGTTTACAGGAAATAAACTAAATTAGCCTGAATGGTTTTTTTTCAAACTTTTAAATTTAAGAATGACAATGATGAATTGAATCAAATAAGATTTGCTATAAGCTACCTGTAGTTATTAGAGGATCTGGTAATTTCCTGAAGAAGGTCTTCAACAAGCTACTGATAACGTTCACATCACACCACTTCTCATGGTCCACATTCATGTTATCAATGCCCTAGAAATACAATACACATTACTGACTCTCTTATTACAGTTTTTTGCTGTAAGAGACAGTGGGTAACACCCAGTGTTTTATAATACTGAACAAATGTCAGAGAGAGGAACATAACATTATTAATAGAGTAAATAAGAGGATAGGACAGAATATAAGTAAGAATTATAGACAGTTAACATTATCTGAGTATTTATGATTAATCTGACTGAAAAATTCCATTAATTGGCAAAATTTTACATAATAATAACAATAAATACCTTGTTGAGTTCTTCCTGCATGTGGTTGACCGCTGCTGAGTTGCCAGGAACTCTGTATACACCTGTCACCTCTAGACCTCGTGCCTCCACGATTTTAGTACAAAGGTCAACAATCAAAGGCACAAACTGCAAAATTATACATCATGCGATTACAAAATACATAATCAATACAAACTACACATACATAACATTGTAATTCTTACAAAGTAAATGTATTCTGATAACAAAGTGTATTTGTTTTTATTTCAAATTTTAAATAGTCTTGAAGCAAATAAAAGACCCTGTACAAGTCTTTCAATACTATGCTGTACAATATTTGACCATAATGTTGAGAAACAGCTAATTGACCAGCAAAACAAATCCGCATTGAGATAAACGACTTCAAAGCACATATGATATACCAGTAAGAGTTAAACTGTATCAACTTTGAGGTCCTTTGTCATTTCGACAAGTGAAAAAGGAGGTTATTGAGATTCAAGGAAAACCCTGTTGAAGATCTTAATGAGCTATAAATCTAGCTTGATATTTTTTTGAGTTTTGTCAATGCTTACATCATTGTTAGGTGATGGTATACAACAGGACAGAGGCAGTCCGAACATTCCTGATTGTTCATGCTCTTCGGAATGGCCGGATCCTAATACACCATATTTACGGAAGCTCTTCAGCTTCCCGCGAAGTGTTTTTGCTTTAGTGCTATCATCTGTAACAAATTCGACATGTAACACATTCAATATCAAATTGCTAAATTGATATCATATACAGCTGTTTCTATAACATATGATTAATCAATTTTTACACATGTTTTTTATTTGCAGATAAAATGTAATGTTATGAAATAAGGCAGAACACAACAGAGTGCCCATTACAAAAATTCACCAAAATTCTCACAGCTTAATTATTGAGAAAATCCATCAAGATCCATTTACCAGAAAAAAATTTTCCAGTGTCTTAACAAAGAATTTTCAAATCATGGAGACAAATCAGACATACTACATGGAATCAGATTGCTGACATACCTTTGCTCTCAGCCTTCTTGCGTTTCATGCTGGGGGAGTGTGGTATTTTTGGTTTCAGCGAGAGCACTGGCAGTTTTTTAGTGGCTTTGGGTGGAGCCTGAGGTGATGTCTTGTTGGCAGACACGTTAGGTAGGGGCTGAGCTGATTCATATTGGTTAGTCTTCCTGATGATCAAATCTTTACTACCTAAACCTTTCTCCTGTAAACAAGTCAATCATAATGATGTCTCTAGCAAAGGCAGCTTATAACAAACAAATCTTGCTGATTTCATGATATTTCAATTTGTTTTTCATATGCAAGAAATTATAATAACTTACAAAATTAATCAAATGATAAATTAACTTATTAACATGTAACAAAGATTAATATTAATAAAAAAAATTGATAAAGATGTTCTGCATCTTCACAATCTTGATTTGTGTGTTGTAATATATCAGCTTGTGGCTCTTGTTCACATTTTCACAGTATAAACGTTTACATAATGTTTAATAATTGTGTCGCTTTATATGTCAGGTACAAGAAGTATTTTCTACTGTTTCCATTCATTATGTTAGGAATGCACAACTGAAACAAAGAGTTATCTTCTCTTGGACACAGAATGTCAATTTTCAAATGTTTCCAGCAAATGAGCATTGATTATATTAAGACTAGAACTACAAGCAAGCAAGATGATCTGGTTTGAAAGATGATCTGGTTTGAATGACGATCTGGTTTGAATGACGATCTGGTTTGAAAGATGATCTGGTTTGAATGGTAATTGCCAAATTATAAAGCATACCAAAGCAGAAAACAAAACTTTTTTTTAAAGAAATCAATAAAACAAATAGCCTACAATCTACCAGCAACGGCAGCTGATGTTATGATCTTAATCAAACGATAGTTTCTACTTCTTCTTCTTATCTACCTCAACTTCAAATCAGGATTTATTAGCTGCTACCTGATGAAGAGAAATGATCCTTTATAAAAAGGCTGGGTTTCTTTTCAGATTTGAATGTAGAACGCAAGTGTATATTTGGCCTATGAATACCAGGGGAGGAGATCCAGGGAGCTTGTTCCCATGGTTAAATCAGTTATCTACATCAAAGAACAGACAGTGGACTGGATTGTGCATGAGGAGGAATGACAGATAGAATCATAAGAAAGCTCTTTGCTGATCAACATGGATGTCTTACGAAAAGCCAAAAAGCAAATTGGGTTGTGCATGAAGCCAAAACGAGAATCCAGAGAAAACACTGTACCCTGACTTTACACCTCGAGCCCCTTACATCCGAGTCGGGGTCATTGTTCTCCTGAATAGCACGTATCCATGACAACATGGCCTCAGGTTCATCTGCTTGGAACAAATACTCTGAGCCATTGTACGTCTTCAAACGAAAAACATTTTTCTTTTTTGTGTAGTCGTAGGCAATGTCAACAATGGAAGACTTGATGGAGATGGGTTGGTCTTCAAAGGAGAAGGGGTGTGACTGCAACGAAAACAAAAATAGCATTATCTCAGTATAATTCAAGCAATGCATTGTAAAGAAGATCAGTTTACAGGGGGTTCCATTTTCAAGTATTTTGGAAGATGTTATCAAACAGCAAAAAGTATGTACCTTAAGTATGAAATTAATAAAGAAAAAGTTAATTTCCTTACATCCTCATACAATACATCATTCTCCCATCTAGCATTTGATACAAGCATGAAAATTTGTACTATCCAGAAAAAACATTACAGTGACTGATATATGTCAGATTCTAGATTTAACTTAAGTATATATACTTTCTTTCTGCAGTTTCTGATATCTTAAGGACAGGAAAAAATCATATCAAAACATTAAAATTTAAATAGCTCATCAACACAAAAGATCAAACGGCCAACAAATAGTAACAAGAATCAACATCAAACAAAACAAATTCAAACCACAAAACGCTCATCTGTATAGTGATGAATACCCAAGTGGTAACAGTAAAACAAATCTTTGATAAAGACTGACAGCTTTCATTTGGACTAGAATTTTGAATACATAATTATCTACTTTTTCAGAGAGATTTGTTTATTCCCATCGAAAATATTTCATAAAGTATACAGGTCCATATTTTAACATGAATTGTTCATTGCATGCTGTACACTGAGGCTGACACAAGTAATTATGACACGACATCCACCTCCTTTATCGTGTTATAAACAGCGGTAATGATACTCACCACTCCTGCTTGTTCCTTCCTCTCCTTGTGTAGGTATAAAGCGTGACCCCTCAGTTCCACCCAGACTGGTTTCCAGGATCTATCACTGCTTCTCTATAATCATCACACATCAAATCAATTACAATTTGCTTAAATTGTAATGTTCTCAATTTTTCCAACAGTTTACTTATGTGTATTCAAATGTAGGATTTTTTTTCTCTGAATAATTCCTTTGTTTCTATTGATACAATGTCAAATAACATGACAAAGACTACATGTTAACGATTAAATAAAGGCCACCATAATGAGAATTTGATGTAACTACATTTTACTGATGAAATGGAGGCAGTTCAATGAGGTTTTTATGTAACTGAAAAGGGGAAAATGATATTCTGTAATTTGGAGATATTAAAAAAGTTGTTATTCGATAGAAGTTGTACCTTTCCATCAGTAATGTCGGTCTTGAGATGGAGTGTTCCCTCCTTCAGCACTTCCTGTATGGGACTGGCAGGGTCCTGTCTCTTCTCTGTGGCCTCCATGATTCGTGGAGTCTGTAACAGCACAATACACACCACATACTCTAATTGTATTCTCAATCCTTACCTCTATATCATATCTATCACTTTAATTCAAGATTTCCTTTGGCTGTGGACATGTCTCTACATCATTCTTCTGAGACAGAAAACTATATTGTATGGAGTGAATTAAGTTTACCATATATGTTATTAAAATTAACTCATTAAATCTCATTTCTTTTAGCCAAATTTGACTTTTCTCAATCACCTCCTAGCTTTAGAAATTTAGGCCCTTAGCATCACCTACAGGTCATAAGACAAATTAATTGTATGATGCTGTTTAAGTCATCATTTTGCTCTACCTGATCTGAAATTCGTGTTTAATGATATTCATGTTTGTGTCTTGAACTTGTACCATCTTTAAAGGCAATATCTAAACAAACCACGTAATAAATATCCAACTTTTTATTTTTTAAATATTGAATAATTACCCTTTCTCCAAAGAAGGCTTTCAGCTTCTTCATACTGTGGTGCTTGTTTGGTGTACTGAAAGATAATATATACATGCTATAGTTAAGTAAACAACATCAGTACTTGTCCTCTTACAAGTTTTCTAAACAGCATACATCAACCTACTGGAAGTATTCTGAGAAAAAAAAAACTTTAAATATTTCATGTTTTATAGATCTTTAGCTTCTTATTTATTGGAGAGAGAAAAAATGAACATCCACTTTGGTATAAAAAGACAGTAAGGTTGATGAAATGTGTTTTTGAAGCCTCTAATTTAATTTACTGTATCATGAATTTTTTCATGTATTAGATATTTGAAATATTTTTTTTGTCTAATTCTGGCAATAATACATACTGCAGTGTCAGCTCAGCTGATTGGTTGGGAGACTGGGATTTATCCAATGACAGTTTGTGGCTGTCTCTGTCCTTGGCTGTTGCCATCAGGTAGGATGTTCTTCTCTGTAACTTGATGGCCTCTTCTTCTGGTGTAGCTAAAAACAAACAAATTGATATGAAACTTAGGTTACAATTTCAATGCTGTACATGCCATATAGAAGAGCTTCAAATAGCACAATTCTCTATATCATAGTGTAAAACCTTAATTAATTTGTCATTAGTTAAATTCAATAATACATACTAAGTATTTGTTTAGTCCATCTATGCTAAACTTTTTCCTATTACATGCAAATAAAATGAAATAACGATGAGAATTCAACATTTTACAATAATATTGAAGACATTTCTCTGAGCTGAGAGAATCTTTGACATTGCATTTCTTGTGTTAGGTTAAATGATGCATTTGATGTAATTTGTTTATTTTAAAAACAAATAAATAAAGAAAAGTTATGTTTATGTTAGACTTACACTCCGATTTCTTCCTGAGAATGACAGAAGGAGTGGAGTCTCTGATAGGGGTACTAGTCAAAGCCATGTCAGAGTCGGAGCTAGGGGGAGGCAACACAACTGGAAACAAGACACCAAGTTACAGTTAAAGGGAAGTAATTCTAGTCAAATCACCCAGAAAGAAATCTACAATGTTAGATCTACAACAACTAAAATACATGTTATACAAACATTAATTTTTTATATCAAGTTTTGAAACATACACATGAAATCTTGATAAATTAGTAAAGAATTAAACTGTTATCTATATAAGGATTTTCCCTACCCATTCAATAAATTGAATTAAAACTAATAAATTGAATTAATACTATCATTTTCCAATTTATTCCTTTTTCAATCTAAATGGTATGTAAAACAGGTAGTGCAAATCAATATTTTTGTTGCAATAGAACTCACAGTGGAAAGGGTGATACAATATAGTTTAGATCACAATTATTAAGTTATATTAAGGTATCATAACTCCTTAAAAGTCTTTGTTACTTCTATAAGTGTAGATTTTACTGTAAATTAATTATGGTACCATACCTCCTTAAGTGTTATATTACAGTAGTTATGGTATCATACCTCTTAACTGTCTATATTACAGCAGTTATAGTAGCATACCTCATTAAGTGTCTATTTTACAGTAAAAAAAGGTGTCATACCTCCCTAAGTGTCTTTGTTACAGTAATCAAGGTACCATACCTCCTTAAGTGTCTATGTTACAGTGACGTAGCATACAACATAAATGTTGCAGTGTAAATTAGGTAGTTCATGTAGAATGTTGTTACCTGATGAAAGGGAAGAATAGGGCAACAAGCCTGGATTGCTGGAGTTTGAGATTGAGGTATGTGACCCCATCCATGGACTCGGACTGACCAATGGAGACTCAGGGCTGGGCAGATCACTAAGAGACTGATCATCTGGAGAGTCAAGGTCAAATGTTTAACAACAAACCCATATTAATATTGTTAAAAAAATGTTCAGGGTTTGCAATGCTTTTTCAAAGAGCATGCAGGATATTTTCACTGGATTATTCTAGAACTAGAATTTAAAAAAAACAAATAAAATGCAGTAAAGAGCGTTGAACTTACATCTAGATGGTTGGTTTATAGCTGCCAGGAAAGATGGTTTTCTCACTGGTTTGTTTCCACGCTCCTCATCCTCAGACATTCCATCTACATCATCATCCTGCATGTGAATGGCCGCTTTGGATGTTGTCATTTCCATTGGTTGAGCGTTCTGCATTGGTGAATCCTGGTATATAGGCATCTGCATGATCTCAACCAGTGGGGACGAAGACGAGTGAGGTGTACCCTGGGATACATAGATACGGATAGGGGCAGTCTGTTGCTGCGGAGGGGCTTGGGGCTGTGGTGTGCTACGTTCTGAGGAGTGAGAATGTGACGTGTGCCCAGATGAAGGTTCTGGGGAGGAGTACCTTTCTGTGGATGACATTCTACGAACGCAGACTCCTTCTTTTTCCAGATTTTGTAGGCGGCGTGCGACAGTTGTGAATTTTCCTGACGTTATTTTCTTTATCTCTGTTTTGTAGGTGTTGAAGTTGGTTCCCTGCACATTGTCATTCTGTCCACTCTCAAACTGTTGTTTTCTGTATGACACAATAGGTCTCTCCCTACTTTCCTTTTGTTTGATTTCAATTTGAGCACCATGTGGAGATTTGGTCAGAGCAAATGTGGAGCCATATTGATTCGACATCTGAACTGTGGCACCCCCTGGCACCTGGCCATTGGTTTGATTATTACCTCCAGTTTCAATGGTTTTATTGCCAATTTTCACTATAAATGTTCTAGCACCGCCATTTTGATTTTGTTGCTCATATGTCGGTGAGCTATAATTTGTCCGTAGACTTCGCTCTGTTACATAATGACCAGGACGAGAGTCAAGACCATCAACACTGGTGGACAGCTTTGGACTGACCGATGACGTCTGTGACACAACTGGAACATAATGTCTTGTAGGATGTGGCTCACCTTTCATCCTATCTCCTGACACGCTGGTTTGGGATGTATACGAGTGAGGTATTGCTGAGCTCTGATTGGCTAATGCTGATGAAGAATCTGGATAACTGTGGCGTGAAGATGAAGATGATAAAGGTGATGTGTATGTTGATGAATTTCCAACATTAAATGAATCCTGTTGTGATTGACTTACACCTTCTCTTGTTGAAGAGCGTTGTTCAAGAGGAATAACTCTGCCTTGTGGCTTGACAGTCACTGATCGTGTGATATTCTCCTGAGAATCGTTTGACTGTAATATATTGTCTGCTGATCTTCTGTAATGAGAGGAAGAACTTGGAACGCCTTCAGAACTTTTAACGGGGATAGACTCCTTCTTGGGAGCAGGGTAATATAAACCAAGTGAGTATGTCTTTGAGGGTGCTTGCAGATTCTCCTTAGCTCGTGATTCAAACTGTTTTCGCCTGTCATTAAAAACAACCTTGTGCAGGTCACCCCCGCTGGCATTGCTCTTTAGCTGGGGTTCCCTGTACACACTCAATCCTGATGTGTAAGAAGTTGAGGATTTCATTTTCCTTGTTTTTTCAGAAGATCCAAGATATCTATATTTTAACTCATCTGAATCAGCATACTCATCTAAAGATGAGGCTGAAAACCTTCGTTCTGGTCCTCGATACCTTCCTGTCTCTCCAGGGGCTGTCACCCCTTGGGGGACTTGAGAAGAGTAAACCTGTTGACCTTGGGTCTTTATACTGCTACCATCACTGCTGCTGCTGTGGCTGTGATATAAGGGCTCCTGTAGGGAACTTCTGTTTGTATTTTGGTAAGCCTGCGGAATGAAAAAGAATTTCCAGTAAAATAACCAATTTCAATCAATTTTGATCATGACATATGTAAACACTCCATCTATCCAACACTGTTTTGTTTTCATGTACGATACAATGTAGTTTATCTATGTATGGCATAACAAAACACTTTCACATAAAAAATTATAAATTATCTTTCTAAAAAAATGTAAAAAGAATAACATAGCTTTACTTTGTTTTTGAAACACCTATGATTCCACTCCAGCCAACAAGTGTGAGGAACACTTGTTTCGAAATTATTGTAAAATAACTAAAGTTTATATCAAATTTAAACCAAGCAATCTTTGTGAAGCAAGAAAAAAATATGATTACAAACAGTACTTATGATGAGACAATGACTCAGAAATACACTTATATTCTAAATATAGTAAACTGTTCTTACAGAATTATGTCCCTTTGACCAAATATCCTTTTCCAACAGTCCATCTTATCATAGTGAATTCAAACTGAGAAAGCATTTTACAACTCAGTGTGTTTATATACCCAATACACTTAAATATCGTCACAGACACTGACTTATCAGCAAATCATCAAATTATCTATATATGTCTAAGTTTAACAAATTTATTACTTTTTAAATTCTAAATAAAGCTTTTGTATTCATCAAAAAACCTTTTAACTGATGTTACGAATATTAAGTCATCAAAATTTATACGTGAATTAATTTGAAGACTAAATTAACGCAGAATTATATTTGATATTGGATAGAAACGTATTGTTAAAAAATGAATTATTCAAAAATTTGTTCAAAGGATATAGAATATGCTGTCAGTTGTTTGACATTTAAATCACCACACATCACCCTGTATTTACATGTGGTAACAATAGATCTTTCTGACTCAGTACATGACTCCGATCTGTATTTACATATTCAATCTGAATGGTTTAACATTCTAAGCCTTTGATATATAATCCATTTAATATAGTCTGACCTCCACACATCTACAACATGTAGTTGAATGTTAAAGTGACCTTGTCACTAAAACCCAGGGCAGGAATTTGTGTAATACTGACGGTCACTAAAACACAGGGCAGGAATTTGTGTAATACTGACGGTACTTAAACCCAGGGCAGGCACTTGTGTAATACTGACGGTACTTAAACCCAGGGCAGGCATTTGTGTAATACTGACGGTCATTAAAACCCAGGGCAGGCATTCATTTAAAACTGATGGTCATTAAAACACGGAGTGTATATTTGTATAATGTAGACGGTCATTAAAAAACAGGGCGTACATTTATACATACGCTACATGTACGTTCTGTTTATTTTATAGCAAAACTGATGACAGATTTAACCAATAATTCAAATAATTCAGAATTTATAAATGAAAGCAATGTTGTCTTTAGCATCAAATTCCTTTTAAAATCTAAAATATTCTCATTTTTTTGTATTTCTCTTGTACCACACCTGTCTCTACAGACAGTTATACAGAATAGTGCCTCCATTAGATCTGTATTGGTGATCTTTGAGACCAAAGGTTTATCCTGGTCTATTAAATCTTGTTGTAACTTGCTATCAACATATCAAATCTTTTTCATGACAGAAACAGCCCAAAATTATTTCATCCTTTACACAATACTTTAAGTTGTCTTAAATCTTAAATATCATTTCAAACTTTTAAACATGAAAGTGTTTTCTTTTTCTTTTCAGGTCTTCATTATTCAAAAGACATCACCAAGACATTTATCTGATGTTGGGACAGGGTGATAGGAAAGATCTAGTATATGAAATTTTATTTGAAGGTGTCTAGTGTTACAGTTATCCTACAGAGAAAACTGTCTACATATTCAACAACAAGGACACTGAGCCACTGTGCAAGAACCTGTCTGCATATTTTAGTACACCTTCGCAATGACCTCGCGCTCTGTAATAGATACACACAGTAGTAATGTAACTTACTGAATATGCAGATTCAGATTAACGGAACAACACAGGTAGACAAAAAACAGGTAACCCTGCCGAACAACCTTCTTTTGGTGTATTCTTAAGTTCGTGAATCAGAAATAGAAAACAACAATTCTTATCACATTTTGGTACTATATCTGATATGAGAAATACGCTAAAAATACTTCTAAAAAATGTATATATGTACTGACTAAATGATGAAAGATACTTCTAGTGGTCAAATGTTTTTGAATAAAACTGATATTTTATCAAATCCTTAAATTTCTAGTATCATAACTATTCTTCAAATTCTCTATATCATCCTAACTTTAGTTTACCGTTAGCACAATATAACTTGATGATGGCCTCTTCAACAGTTTGTTTATAGTTTAACTTTACAGTTGTCCGGTTTGGGCTTAGGTCACATGTGTTTAATTTTGTGTTGTCTATCAATTTATATCAATGTCTATGGGCAAAACATATATTCCAGAAATTTTAATATAAAAATTTTTACAGGGAATTTGATTTCACATTATCTTCCCCAACATTGAATTTTGCGAATTTAAATCACCTACAAATATAACGAAGTATACATTAAGTTTATCATTGTTACCCACCATTTGAAGAACATCCTCGTCTCTGGGTAACACGTCTAGTTTGAGTACGGGGTCTTGGGATGTCTGTATCAAAGATATCACCTGCGGGTAAGACTGCCCTAGGACAGGTATGTCATTGACGGAAAGAATACGGTCTCCTTCGTTTAGACCGGCGTTTTGGGCAACACTGTCCTGTTTCACATGCTTGACGAAGATTGTTTCCATAGGCTCCAGTCTGCGCAGCTTGGGCCGCTTACAGGAGATTCCATAGCTATATTCCTGGGAGTCATTTCCAGTCTGAAGAAAAAAGAAGAAAAACATCTACATCTTCTCCAACTTGTCACATTCTGGTAACAGGACAAATAATTATAGAACAGTGTCCATTGGTATCTAGTGACACGACATATAATTAGGACAGTGTGAACAGGTAGCTATATCTAGACAGGTAAACAGTGTTATCTATTAATCAATACTATACAACTACAGATCCTAAATCATGGGTCTGTCAATGTGCGAAATCTATGAATGGGAAAACACTGTAACCTGTTGTGTGTCTGGACCTCTCTTTACATTCACACACATCAGTGACATTTCTACCTCACCCTGCTGACATGTAGAAGACCTACATTACTAGGGTTAATGTGAATGTCTGTATTTGTGTCCAGGAGACACCTCACATACTGCTGGATGATGTCTGGTGCTGTTGGTGACATACATTTCAATCACACAATCCATGAAGGAAACCATTCTATATGTACATTTCAATCAATCTATTTCATAAAATGATAATAATATCACAAAGTGTGACTGATTTTGAATAAAAATTAAAAAAAAAAAAAAGATTTCTAAAGTCCATTGCTTTCAAATCAAGTCCAATATTTAAAATAAAGTCCAACACTTTCGAAAAAAGGTCCAATGCTTTCAAGCCCTGAACAATGTCATTATTACAAAAGGCATAGTCAAGTCTTCTATCCATGTAGTAATTTTCCTCGTTTGCATATCTACGATCTTCCACTTTCACCTTCTTTACCATTTGCATGATTTTCCCATCCATTTTATAAATAACTTAACATAAGTACCATACTCAAAGCCACTCATTGAACCAAAAATAAAGTTTCCTTATATATTGATGGTACTTAAATAGAATTAGCCTTTTTACTGTTATGACCTTTGCACTGAGGTAGTCTCAATATAGTGGTGGCCTTTATATTAAGATGGTCTTCATACAGAGGTGTCTTTATATAGAGGTGGCTTTTACATTGAGGTGTCATCATGTAGATGTAGCCTTTATACTGAGATACCTTAATTATGAGTATAGAGGTGATCTTTATATAGAAGTGTCTTTATATAGAGGTGATCTTTATATAGAAGTGTCTTTATATAGAGGTGATCTTTATATAGAAGTGTCTTTATATAGAGGTGTCTTTATAGAAAGGTGACCTTTGTAATGTGGCTGTCTTTACATAGTGGTAGCCTTTATGCTGCGATACCTTGATAAGGAGCTTTCATATATAGAGGCGGTCTTTATATAGAGATCTTCATATAGAGTGGTCTTTATATAGAGGTGTTCTTTATATAGAGAGTGGTCTTTATATTGAGGTGTCTATATATAGAGGTGGTCTTTACGTACAAGGAGGCACTAAGACATGTTTCCCTGTGTTTGCTTCTTTCATTGATTTGTTTCTTATCTTTTCAAATCTTATCAGTCATAAGAATATAGCTTTTGGAGTATGTACAAATGTTTGTAGTTTTTTCATCCTTCCTCACCAGTAAGTATACTTGTTCAGATGTGAGAGCGTACATGACGGTCAACTGAATGAAGGTCTAGTCCTAATAATTGTACAGAAATACACAAATACAATCCATCTGCTGGAACACACTAGTAATCAAACCAATTTTTCTGCCATTATGTTATCACTGATTTTTAAGTGGGACATATGGGTTGTTTTTCTTCTCTCACCAGACAGTTACTTCCTGCCTTTGTACCTCTCTATCTTACCCATTCTAAGTACATCGGAGTCAAAGGATAAACATGTGCTATCCTAATGATATAAAGACCTTTGATTGTTTATTTCCTTTCTGAATTCATTCATAATTCTAGCCAGACAAATCTTATATAACCTTTTGCGTATTCTTAACACTTATGTCTTTCTGTACTACCCAATATTCCTTAAACTTATATTCTGATCCAAACATAATCCCATGCATTCACCTTCAGTAGTTTTAGCACAAAACTTTTAAGTGAGAATTTTCTATGGAGGTGAAATGATTCCTTTCTTCCAGGATAGCTGAAGTACTTTAGTCAATTTTAGGTCAAATCAATAGTTGACATAACATCTACAATGCTGTAATTGTGTTTAATTAGCTTTTTCACAGGTAAATCATTACACAGACAGGTGTTTGACCAAGCTTTTCTAAGTAACAGTATAGGATGAAATTACATTTAATTTACGACCAGCATACAAAGTTTAATTTATTTTTGCTCACAGAAATTTCACACACACAAATTTTTTTTAAAAAATGACAAAAAAATTGAATTAAAATCAAATTTATGTTCTTCATAAACACTGCCTGCCTCATAAAACAAGATTATACTTCAAGGAGGTTTAATTACGACCATCCTTGATAACAACCTTGAAAGAATTCCATCTGAGAAAATGAACACAATAGCTGAATAAAGAAACAACTGATAATATCAATTCTAATGAATGGATCTAACTTCTTTAAGTTCAGTGATTGTTGCTAACCTCAATTTAGAAAATGACTTAAACATGTTTCATTTGAAAAGAAAGAAACAAAAAGTGGCTTTAAATTTCAAATCAAATGTGGTACACCTACATTTAAACATTACTGCTTTGTTTGTTACCCCAATATTTAGACTTGACATCAATTTAGGTGATAATCAAAATTTTCAAAACATTTTCATGATGAAAAAAATTTCCCTTAACATATACTGACAAATGAAAGCCAGAACACACTGGATGTAACTGATATTTATAGAAACCTTGTCATGTGATCAAGTGTTGTTGACCCTTGTTATGTAACACCTTCATCTGAATCAGTTAGAATAGCTCAATACAAATAGATTCATAAAATACCTCATATTGAATAAATATTACCCAATTTTTTTAATAGTTCTTTGGTTGATTTGTTAACGCTCTCACCATTAAATTATAGCAAAGCATTTCTTTAAAAAAAAAAACCTGGCAGTGCAATCTCCTTGTTACAAAAATGAAGTGTGAAGTCCCTATTTTCATTAGAGCTGAGAGTGTGAAATTTTTTCAGACTGACAATCCTGTTCTGGTGAGTATCACCGTCCCCTGTATGTTCTGTAACATAACAGTAGTTAATGAATCCTTGAGAGAGAATTCAGTATAATACATAAAGGAAACATTTGTTACCTTGTGTTGTTTCTACATCTGACGTTGTGTGATTATACTCAAGTCTTTACATATATGATAAAGTTGCTGAGGTGTCTTTGTCTCATTAAGAATGAGATGCACACATTTGTCTAAAAAGAACATATTTCCTCGAGTTCTTTGTCTTGCTAACATCAGACCACATTTAGTCTCATCATCTCTAATTTACGGCTGCCGGAGGGTTCTGCACCAACTACATCTGGAGGAGATGTTGATGACAGCATTTGCGACGCATGTGAAAAACATGCACCATGCAGACTGTTATATGATGGTGAAGTGATTTGAGCGAGTAAAAAGAATGTACAATTATGCACCGTTTTCTCCTATACAGCTGACACGGTAATCTAATTGTTTACACAAATTCTAGACATAATATCCATCCCACCATTAATACCCTTGCATTCCACTCCACTGATCGTCACTCGAGTCTCACATGATAAGCCAACCATCAACACCATAACACTCCCTTCTTACTTCACACCTTCAAATTCTTTTCCTATAAAGTCCTACAGGCTATTGATTTTTGTTAGGATTATAAAGCCCTGTATTTTCTATTATAATAACAATTTCGTCTTAGAAATTTTCATGAATGGTTCAAGCTTGAAAATTGGCAAGAAAAATTAACAAAAAAAGTTGATAAATTGTGAAACAAATTACATAGTATAATTGTAATTACTAAAATTTGTGGATTTGGAAATTGGAAAAAAAAATTGCCTTTAGTTGTAGATTTCTTAACTGTTTAAGTGGCATATTTGATGCAACTCCTTATAGAATATTTCTTGTTACTTCAATTGTAATGAAAACATTTAATATCCTGTCCTCATATGTAATTTGAAAAGAAAGAGAAACTCTCACGACAAGGGAGATAACTTTGAAACAAAAGGGAAGGTTGACACTTCATATTATCATATATGTTATCGAACAATCAATTAAATCCAAGTGATACATTCATTTTACATTATTCTTTTCTCCTCTAGCTATAAGTTGTGCTGAACACTAATGTGTTTCTCTCCTGTCTGATGATGACATTTACTGTCCAGTCTGGTGTACTAATGCCTGCTGCTGGGACAGTCCTAAGCTGTTTACACTTACTGTCACCTCGGAATATCACACAACTATTCCGGATGAGTTTAAGACTTTTTATGGCAGTTCCCAAGTCTACACGAGTGACACATGCTTTCTCTTTGCAGCTACTGTTGCACAACAGACATGACCTCTAAAATCTGTTTTCTGTCTGTCTTTACTGTAACAGAGATGCTAAAAGAAACTCCATTACAATAACTGTCTTTCAGTTCTAAAAACCAAGACAAACAAAATGCTGCCTGTAAAACATCCAGATGTGTACTTTCAATATCTGACTATGTTAAAACGTCTGTGTTCTGTCTGTCAGGTAGCCCTGCCAGTGTGAAGTTGTGTAAGTTTGAAAGGTTCCTTCTGTTTATAAACATCTACCATCAATACCCAGTCGTCTGTCGAGGCGAATGAAACAACTGTTTATTGTACAAAGTTTATAGGTTCTTAATCAAAACTTGGGTTGGACAAGTTGATAAATATCTAAGGAGATATGGTATATTGTACAATGCTATATTAAGTTTAGTAAGACATTAATAAAGCTACTCTGTTTATAACGAAATGTGAGGGCTTGTAGTACTGACAATGAATAAGTAAAGGATGAGATTTTAATTCATCATATCATTACAGTTCTGAAATGAGCCCACAATAGTGTTTTATACAAACACAAATATCTTATAAATAATCTGATTATGGCTTCAAGGAACAACATGTGTTTAGGGCAAAGCTGTGCAAATATACCTTCATCTAAATTCATTAACATCTAAGAGAAAACAGAAATGATGTCTATGTCTAATGGTTAAAAGTGAGATATCAGAAGTTGAAATCATAAATATTATGTGACCTCTGGTGTCCATAATTCAAAATTAAGGAATTAAATCACTTCTTAACCTAACAAAGTCTTATTAACTATGAAGCAATTCCTAAGGTATGATATGTCCTACCTGATATTGGTCTTCTTGGGTGAAGTCTGGGGGGTAAACGATGAAGTGACGGAGGGTGAATCCGTAGCCTTGGTCAGTTCTAGGGATAACCACTGTCCGTGGGCCGGTCCAAGGGGGAAGTAAAGGACTCAACAGGTGGTCATCTTCACTCAGCTGAAATGATAAAATCCTGAATCAACAAAGGCGGCTAGGAAAAGTCAATCATAATAAAGTCAAAAAAAAAGAGAAAAAATCAAAATGAATATTTATGAACTACAGCTGCATATGGAGTCATCATATTAATCCAACACCCACAGTTCATGGATGACAAGTAACACTCAACACATTATGCGGCGTGACGTTGGATAATTCTTTAACATTGCTTCATCCTTTGTGATACAGTATGTACGTGTCAGTAGAATGAACTTTTTAAAAATGGACTTTGACTGACCCTAAAACACCAGGAAGTAGATCCGTCAGGTGTAACTGGTACAACACTGGACTTTCTATATATAATCTTACGGGAAAATTCCTCCCACTTAGATAGTCACCAGTCAGCTATTTCAATAATCAAAGGGTGAGATGACCTGTTGACCCCTAGGTGACTGACCCAGGATACTTATAATTAGGATTAGGTCACCTTTGTGATGTAACACTTCTAATGTATACTGGTTCATTCTTTTTCTATACTGTGACAAAATATTTGTTATTGCGGTAACACCTCCAAAGTACAAGGGTTTTAACCTTTCACCTGTTTGTTGATTGCAGGTAACACCAATGTAAATAATTCCATAAAGAACATTTAAACAGAACCTTGAGTTCTCACCTTTCCAGTGGTAGAGAACTTCACAGCCTGAATCACAGGATATACCTGTCCAACAAACACCTGTACATCACATGTAGTTCATTCACACAGGTAAAACAACTTCATTAACATTCATCATAGATATATTCACAAGCCTGTCTCATGTTACAGTGACAAGGAAGGACTTAACCTCGTAAGTGATCAATCCTTATCAATTTACAGTGGCCCACATTATGTCAGTCTATTGATATTAATAGTTTTGATTTAAATAAATGGTAAATTTTTCAAATACCAAAATCACTCACAAATTTCCTCTGTATCAAAAAAGGTTAGAATATCTATTTTGTTTTCCAAACCACACCTTGAATAAAACGTACCTATCCCACTGTAAAGTGATAGTACATAATGTACTTTGTATATATCCATGGTGATGAGTAAAAGATAGTTTTCTTGAATATATAAAAAAATAATAGCAGGTTTGTTGTAGCAGGACTATAGGGCTATGACACAAGCACCTAAACATGTATCAGACTTATATGATGCACACATCCACATGAGGTCAGCAATTCCTTGAGATCTTTATACACAGTACTGGCCTTATATATCCTCGACATTCAACCCAAACCAGAAATTTACCTCCAGGGTTTTAAGCGTTTAGATCTGTCCATTATAATCCACCTCCATTACAACATCTATCCAATCTCCTCACACGTGTCCCAGAGTTACCTGTGTACACCTTACAGAGGTCAGTGTTAAGAATCCATTATTGCATGTTAGACACTAGTACATCTCATGCTTACATACATATATAACAGTCATGGATCACCGTCACATAAATTGTGGATTCTGCATCAGAGCTATCGCATTCTGTCTGAAAAAAGTGGTGAATGTTCAAAAGCGTTTTTTTGAGGTGTAATAAATTGTAAGAAGAGAGCTAGTCTTGGTTCTTTTTTGTACCAGAATTCTTGAGGATTAGGTACATGCATGAGACTACTTAGATGATCCGAAAATGAAGACGACATCAAATGGATCTTATTTCCTGATACTCTGTATCGCCTCATCTGATACATGATAAACTACAAGTTCATTAGACACTTTATATACCTAACAATGTTACCTGAACAATTAAAACACTTTTTCCCTGTAAAAGTATCACTTCTAGTTTACATGAAACCTTCACATACATGTACAATATGTTTTTATCAGGGTTTACATACAGAGATATAAAGCAAGTACCACCTGTCGTTCTGATATTAAAAAAATACAATCAAAATGAAAAGAATGGTGTGTACAAGTTTCTGCTATTTGACATTCTGAATTTTGTTGTTTTTTTTGAGAAATTATATAAATTTTATGATACTGTAGTGTGAAGCTATTTGTACCTTGAGGAGAAAGTGAGTCTTATCACTATTGTTCTACAATGCATACCTAAAGCTGTGAGTATTTTTGATCCTTGGTATTTTGTATAGATGTACGTAATACTCAATCAAAACCACATTCCATAACCACACCACAAATCCACCACATCAAAGCAAAAAAAAAAAACAAAAAACACCAGAGAGATACGGCCACTGTTAAAATCACAGTAAAGCTCTCTATAGATCCAAATCAAACATTGTTAAGACTGAGATTTTGAATTTAGAAAATATTCAGTTCTATATACCTCATGCATATGCTCTACTCTCACACACAATCTCATTGGGTGAAAGAATTCTGATGATATCACTATGTAAGTGTGATATAAATAATTTGTGATGCTGTCTCTAAGTGTCATTATATCTTATTATCTTAAGTTTCCAGCTGTCTTTGGTAGAAACTGGAGCCAATATCAGATAAATACTGTACCCATGCTGTAAGAAAACACTATATCTGTATATTCTGAGATTCACATGAGTCACCGTTGATAAGTACAATATCAGTAGCCAAATTAAGGAAAGAGAAATGAAAATCATATGATAAAGAATTATTGCTTCATAAAATTTCACTGTTAAGACTGAATTCCCAAAATACATGCAATCATCAATTAAGTGGAGTTGGACAAGAAAATACCAAGGCACAGTAGGAACCAACTTATTGCGTAATTCAGATGGTTTGTAAAGTGTCAGGTATGCAAATGCAGAGGTCTTTAATGTCATCATCATCTGTGAGATCTTCAGGAGAAAGGATTACAGCATATTTCCTGCTTATAACCAGGAGCAGACTAATCACATATACAGATTAAGTGTGAGGAATGCTGGCCAAGCCCCATATATTCTATATTTATATACAGTGGTATGTGTCCTCACAAAGAGTTGGCATCGAACCATTGTCATTAGTACTGTTACTAGTACAACATCTACAGCTAATCATACAGATGTGTACTGGGTAGTACAAGTACAATATTCTATTTCTCATATACAATTAATTATACAGATGTGTACTAGGAAGACAAAATATGATATTCTATTACTCATAGACATTTATACAAATGAGTACTGGGTTGGAGAAGTATGATCATATTTCTCATAGACATTTATGCAGACAACTACTGGTATGTCTAGTATAATAACCTATTGCTCATAGTCAAATATACAGATGTGTACAGCATGCTAAGGTAGCATTAGTGTCCTCATACTTTTAACAACTTTATTCACTAAATGAATAAGACACTGAAAAGTAGGTTTACTTACATGGATATAATTAAATTTATGATTCTTTCCACAAATTCCACTTCTTCAATCATTTATAAATATTTCTTGCACACAAATCCATGTTACAGATAACCAACATACTAAGTAGCCAGATTCACATCCATGATATGACTATTTAATACAGCTATCAGTAAAATAATAGCAGAGTTTACCATAGTATGAATGAACTTTGAATGATTAAACAGGTCCGGATGCTAATGATGTTTATTGTAAGAGATGTAGAGACATGTAGGAAATGCACACCAAGCCTGAATGCTAACTATACCACATCCTATAGTATCATGAAGATTGTTTATATATTTATAATGTCAGATATTACTATCACTTCTCCTGTTACACAGGAATCACCAGAATATACACAGCAATGTGTCATTGGCAACATCTCACTTCAGTGCGATCTGTACTACAAATATGGTCTTTGAATTCCAGGAACTTGTGGATGACTGTATGACATTAGCCGATGAGCCACAACTGTACTACTCCCTAAATACCATCCACAACTGAAATACTCCCCAAATATCATCCACAACTCTAATACACTCCCGAAATATCATCCACAAATGTTACACATACTCCTCAAATACCATTCCCAACTGAAATAGTCCTCAAATACCATCCACAATTGTAATACACTCCTCAAATATTATCCACAACTTAAATACTTTCTAAACACCATCCACAATTATTACACCTCATCCACAACTGTTACACCTCATCCACAACTGTTATACTCCTCAAATACCATCAATGCACTCACAATTAATTCACATTAGGATAGTTCTATTGTGAAAAGAAGAACATAATTTTCTTATAATCATTTAGAACAGTGCTCAAACCTGTCACAGGAAATACACAATGTACAGGTGTGATTGGGTACATCTTTTGTCATGATAATCATTTGAGGATGCCAATATATTTATATCTTCCAGCTCCTTGCATTTAATAGACAATTTGAAATACAATGATGTCACTGGGAGGGCACCTTGCCATACAGGAAAGTGAGTGTGGAAATAAGAATGTGAAGATGCTATAAATCTAGAATAATTTACTCAGGGGAACTTTTATAATTAAACACAGACTCAGAACATCAGTGTAAAGATACATTACTGTAGACAACCAAATTAAAACTATCTCCAGTTATAAGAATGGACCCCATTACACTTACATTACCCTGTGAAGTGTTGTAATATGACATAATAATATATATGTACACTCAGACCTTGGGTAATAAGATAAACATGAAACGGTTGTTATTTTAAAGACCTCTGATCTGGGACTTAGGTACCCACTTCGGGTCTATGATCTAGAGTAGGAAACCATTAAGTGCTGTAATAACTATAAAGGAAGTAGGTAAATAATGACTAGGTAATTGTTTAAATTAAGCTCTGTCCAAAAACTTCAAATGTTTGGAGTTGTTTTTATTACAATCATATCTTTAGGACGATATCCTGTTGAATTTCTAACAAGCCTTGATAAACTGCCCCCCACCCCCCTCCCCTCTCCTCCACTTTCCCAATCTCCTTTCCTCCTTTCTCCTATCAAAGCTGTCTCTCTTTGGCAATGTTGACATTACCAGGAACACTACACTTCAAAGTCAACTGAAAACAATACTTATGGTACAACAAAGAAAACGTTTAACATCAATGTATATATTAATACAGCTGAGTCAGATCCTATATATGAACCATTCAAGGTCGTGTAAAAATAGTGTAAAAAATGGTTTGAATCTAAACAGCTATCTTGTGCCTAATTTACCATATTTCTGGTGCTTTACATGAAATGCCTTTTTTTCAAAAAATAAACGACACAGACATGTTAGATAACAATTTTGAAGAAATCTAAAAAGAGAACCATTGATTTTGAGGCACTCTGTCAGGTATATCTTCTGATGGTCTGGTTTGTTATCAGTGGAGACTCAGGTATGGTCGATTACATAATGCATTTGGCACCACTAGCAGAAGGTGAACATCTTTATCATACACAAACCTGAGATGCCAACTTACAAAGTAGACACAAACTTGTAGTGTAGACACATACAACTTCAATGTTAAAAGTGCAAAAGAAGACAAAAACGAGGATACAAACTTCTTCAGTATAGACACCAACTTTCACGTACGACACAAACTTCTAAAGAAGAGACGTCAACTTCCATATAAGACACATACTTCTATGATATAGACTACAACTTTCACGTAAGACACAAACTTTTACGATATAGACACCAACTTTCATGTAAGGCACAAACTTCTAAAGAGACGCCAACTTCCATATAAGACACATACTTCTACAGAAGAGACACCAACTTCCATATAAGACACATACTTCTATGATATAGACTACAACTGCCATATAAAACGCAAACTTCTACTGAAGAAACTCCAATTTCCATTTAAGACACATACTTCTACAGTATAAACTCCAACTTTCAAATAAAACGCAAACTAACAGCTTTCACAGCAGACACAATCTACTTTAAACTTATGCTAATCTACTAGAAAGCAGCACACAACATCCCTGGCAGATACTACTAAAAGTCTGGTAACAATATAGAAATTAAGGTTAGGTAATTAACATGACCAATAGATTCTGTATCTTTATCACTAGCTTTTTCTGCACAAAGATTAATAAAACATTTACCATGAAATAGTTCATTACAGAGAAATAGAAGCTGACATTCTTAATCTGGTTCAATTGTACATGTACTTACACCTCCTGTTGTGTCGCCCGTTTGTCTACATCCATGTCAGTTCGAAGCGAACACAAGCCAGGTGAAATATACACTAAAATAGCTATCGTGACAAACATTGTTTTGAACAAGACACTAATGTCACGGAAATCACAGAAATATTCCAAAGTCTATGCACATACAAGTGGAACAACTCTGAGGAAACTGACTCCTTTACACACGTTTGTTTCCTGACACTGTCCTCAGTCACATGGAGTTGTGTTCTGTGACATACCGGAGTTTAGCAGACGGTAGATCAGAAGCCGGTATTGGTCGCTTGCCCTATCCTTTAAAGGGCATTTAAATAAGTGTTTAAAAATAGCACATAAATACAAAAGCTGGCAGCAAAATGATACCAATTTAGAGCATACACATGAAGTTTTCGTGGAAGGGCATGTGGATGTGTGAGCAAGAGTGAAGTGGATCAATGGAAGACGTGGACAGGACACTGACTGTTTATATATAACACCTAAACACCATGAGGAAACATTTGTAGAGCAGATCAAGTCCTTATATCAGGTTGGTCACACAACCACAAAGCCCTGTGTATCCTTCATTCAACAAAATGCTGATAACAATCTACCGACAGCTAAAGGTACTCCTTGTGGCCAGGTAGCCAGTTAAACAGTACTGGTCCACCTGTAATCAACAAGCACACCACAAACACTCTCCAACCTTGGAGGTAAAATCCTCCACAAACACTGTTATGTCATTCGCTGTATTTATTACACCTGTGGTACCACCCTCTGTCTACCTGTTGATCTTGACAAACAGTGGATGGTTAAAACTGCAAAACCCTAAACAACTGTTGTATTAGTACTTATATTCCTATACATACTGTTGCTTAATGTGACAAAACTCTAATCTTCTTCACCCCTTGACTCTCTACATCATGGCAGCTAGAAAATGATTTTGTGGCTAAAGGGATAAGGAACAGGTATCAAGAGAAAATCTCCTGTCTAGAATTTTGCATTTGTATAACTACAAGTATGTTCTTTTGTAGCTTAGCAGATACCAAATCTTACTTTCGTAATACATGTTATAAGATATACAACAAAAGTAGGATTTTCTTTCTGTTTAATACAATACATGTTGTACATGATAGTTCTGGGAGTTACTTATATTTCATACACATGTTTGCAACAATATGAATAAGCTATGCCAGGTATAGGCAGCTATCGCCAAAAAGTTGGCATCTGACATTCACAAGTGACCTTGACCTAGATAAGTAAAAGCAGCATGTGACATGTGTGTTTGGGAAACACATATGTATGAATTTTGAATACTTTGTATTTGGAACTCTTAAAAATTAACTCAGCCTGTGTGACAGATACTACGTTTTATCAGGCCAAATTTGGTTTTTGACCCTGAGCAAGTGACCTTTGCCAAAGGAATACACAAGAGTCATGTGACACATAATAACACATGTATGTAGATTCTAAAACATTAATCTTACCCTGATACCAGCACCATCACCTGTTTTATTCTATTTACGTCTGATGTTGTCTACTGATAAAGATTTCAGATCAAAGGTCCAGAATTGTTTGTCCTAAACTTCCCCATTTAGTCTCTAACCATCAGTCTAACATTACAAACCAACAGAAGCCAATCTTCCCTTTTGACCTTCACTATAATGCAAGGTAAATAGTTACGCAACAACACAGGTACGATCACACATGTCAATTTCATATGCTTAGCAAGCCTTTAGCGAGCTAAAAATTTTTTTAAAATTGTGACAATTTTCAAAAATCATATAAAAAAAATGGAAACAATTTTCTCCTCCCTCTGATCAAATGATCAATTACTTTGACAAAATTACAGCAGGAAACACTTTTCTCTTACCAACTTAAATCTTTATTTTTTTAATTATTATGATAACTATATGATGCCACAATACACAATACAACATGTGATAAAAATAGGTACTGTAGGTACCTAAAAGAAAAACCTTTTGACCCTGGTAGAATAACAAGCAAATAAGTTCATACACAAAAATGTATTTTAAAATTTGCAATCCTTTCTCATCTATAAAGTCTACAGATATTCTATAGCATCTGAATTGATCAATCAGAGGTTGCAGTGGCCATCTTGAATGTGCTCTGATGATGATAAATACTTGATAACACATTTAAAATATATAATCATATTGATGAAAACATTTTTAAAATTTCAATGGTTTTATATACATCAAGCTATTGTTTCAGCAGTTGAAAATGAAATGATTAGTCCCCCAACAACAATTTCATATCACAACATAATTTAACAGGATTGTGCTACATATACCAACCTCCATATAGGGTACAACCTGGACAGTGTAAAACTTGTGAGACTCCATGTTAATCCAGTGACACCCCACTTGCTGACACCCAACTAGCCGATACCTCGGCCAATAGCGTACGCTACATCCCAGTCGACACCCCAGCCAATATTCTACTCATGAACCAGTGTCCACTCCTATCCATAGCTTTCTATATACTGAAATACATCTCTCCTGTCTCACGAAATCATATAAAGAAATCTATGTCAATGTGACTCTTGTCTTTGTTAAATGTCCTTTAGGATGACTTTGAGTCAAGGTCACCATGGATAAAAATGTCATTCGATATTGTCATCACATCCACAAATCTCAAGTGTCTCAAAACTTCCTCTCGTTCTCTGTGTAAAATGACACCGTGAACACACAGAACCGATCTATAACTATATCATAATGAGTCAATTATTCCAGCAGAAATCAAACTACCTACATTTCTCACCTCATAAAGTAACACCGAACCTATCAACACTGTGATGAGTCACTTAAAATAGTTGTGTAAAAATGCTTTAAACTTTTTTATTTTTAAAAAGCACTGATATCACAACATGCAGGCATAAACAGTTTATTGTGTCTTTCTTGTGACACAGATATCACTAAACATCTCACATTTTATTACCTACATCCAGTAGACTACGCATATAGTAATCAACAATTATATTACATAGACATATCTATCGTATAAAACACCTAAACATTTTTTGAATTGTTATAGAAAACACTTCTAACTACAGTTGTTTAATTTCTATGCCTATTGAGTACTTAACATTCCTAAAGTTCAGATAAGAACTTCCACTGACATAATTTCAGTATAATTGCGTCTAGTCAGGTACAGACTAATATAAACCTTTACATAAAGACATAACTTCTGACAGTCAATTTACAAGTTTAAAATTCTATATAATTACCATATGTCCTTGTCAAAATCTTGTCATGGTTGTAACATATATAATAAAAGCGATGTATCTTCTCCTGATTCTACTGCCGGACAATATGAACATGATAAATTACATTTTTATTTTTTTGTAATATTCATAGATTGAATGATGACAAATATATTTTTTTAGAGTGAAACACATGCAAATTTATACAATTTCAGTGTGTCATCAACAATTTACATGTGTATGTCATAATTTATAAAAATAAGAACCTGAATGTAGATAAGCAGTATGCAATATCAACAGTTTAGATTAAAAGAAAGAAAAAAGAAAAATAAAAGAAAGAAAAATAAATGAATGAAAATTCAGCAATTATCAGCCTGTTTGATAAATATAGATAGAACTCATCTGATTATTAACTGTTACCACTTTGTTGTCCTAATGACTATTACCTAAGATTACCTGTATTAATTCATTGGTATATCATATCAGTCGTACGTACCTGTTGGTGCCATCTTTACTATAGCCTGTTATAGCCCCGGCTTTGTTATATTCTGTCCAGGTCTGGGAATTATTGGCACTGAGCACCAGCAGTGATCACCCTTTCCCTCCGACACCCAGTCAATACCACACTGTGTCATTGCCCAAACATTTAGGTAGGATTTGGCACCACCTCAACACATCAACCTCACACGACCTGGTCCTACAGCCTGATCCCCTACTCTACAGGTCTTATACATTCTGTGTTTTGACGTAACAAGATAGGGACTGTGCTTGCTGTGAGGAAACTGAGAGCGTCATCAACTGATGCTCCTCGAAGCAGAGAAGAAGAATTTGACGTAAAAAATACACCATTGATTTCTGCTATGCGACAAACAGCATTATGGCTCTGCCAATGCTGTATCTAAAGATAGATCCCCGACCCACGTCATAATCATAGCCACCTGATCATAACCTTCACTGATCTAACGTTACGCCAAGAGGCCATAAATGTGTAAATTTGTAATTTTTAAGACACTGTTGGGTACAAGATATGATGTCATCATCTCGCGTAAAAACACATTTCTTATGATAGCAATTATCTTAAGGAAGATACCAGCTTCACAACTGCAATAAAAACGCTTTTGTTACTTACGACAGTGAGGCAGCCACAATTACAAACTACGTAAGTCGGTAGATGAGGCGTGAAAACAGAGCCAAGCTATTCCAGGAGAGCACTGCACTCTCACTGCTACTCACAAGGTTACATGTGACGATTACGGAAGATATACATGGTATGGTTGTGACGCGCGATGCCTGTGTAATGTAAGTGCAGAGGGATGCTAACATCTGATAATCAGATTTCGGCAGAACACGTCACACACACACCAGGAATATGTATTTAATGAAGAATTATGTCTCTACATTAATATTGGTCTATCAAATTTATCAGGGAGGTATATAGAATTATCAGAGAGCTACAAAACTATTAGGTTGGAAAAGTGACGACTCCACACAAATTAGATTCTTACTATGATAACATGTAAAATCTTATCAAATGTAGACAAATAATGTATTACAGCTATGACAGTATGCAGTGTGTTTTGCAGCTAAAGACTACACTGTATTGCAAACTACAACATATGACAGTATGCAGTGTGTTCAGTAGCTAAAGACTACACTGTATTACAAACTACAACATATGACAGTATGCAGTGTGTTCAGTAGCTAAAGACTACACTGTATCACAAACTACAACATATGACAGTATGTAGTGTGTTCAGTAGCTAAAGACTACACTGTATGATGATCTACAACATATGACAGTATGCAGTGTGTTTAGTTGTTGCTTGCACTGTATGATGATCTACAATGTATGACAGTCTGCAGTGTGTTTAGTAGTTATGGACTACACTGTATGATGATCTACAACATATGACAGTATGCAGTGTGTTTAGTTGTTGCTTGCACTGTATGATGATCTACAATGTATGACAGTCTGCAGTGTGTTTAGTAGTTATGGACTACACTGTATGATGAACTACAACATATGACAGTATGCAGTATGTTTAGCAGTTGACTGCATTTTATGATGAACCACAACATATGACAGTATGCAGTATGTTTAGCAGTTGACTGCATTTTATGATGAACCACAACATATGACAGTATGCAGTATGTTTAGCAGTTGACTGCATTTTATGATGAACCACAACATATGACAGTATGCAGTGTGTTTTGTAGCTAAAGACTATGATGTATTACAAACCACAATGTATGACAGTATGCAGTGTGTTTGACTAAACTGTTTGACAATCAACATCATTGACTCACCATGTAAAGAATGAGATCCTACACAGCTCTCCTGAAGATTGTTAGCTGATTTCATTAATAATCTCCTGTTTAGTAAGTAAATGTTTATTAGTATTAAACGAGATGATAACACGGCCAGGTCTACCATTGGTAAGGTTGTATACACCCCATCCTCTTAGTAGAAGGCATCTGAGATCGATTTACGACCAAATGTTGAAATGCAAAATCTTGTTGTTTTTGATACAAATTTAAAGTGCTATCTCTACACCTGTCGATTCCCAGCCATGATGTATCCTGTCTGTAGGGCCTCCCTGGCGTTTTCACACATCAACATTTAAGTTTTTATTCTCTCCTGTTATTTGGAAGAGTTCTCAGTGTTAAGAACACAGGAAATCCCTGCAGTCATATATACACACTTTGTATCACCTCACACAATCAGGCAGAGGAACACCTTGTAACACACCCCTGTCACTTTTCTATATACCAGGTGTCAATTCAGTTCATAAAATCCCAGGCAAAACCCATCAAAGTCATTCAAGTGCACTTTCTCTATTAAGTGAAACACCCCTACACTATCTCGGGTTAATGTTGCTATACTGGGTTAGTCGGGGATTCCACTACAACGTTATGGTAAAAATAACACATGTTGAAATCACTGCAGATGATGCATACTTTGAACTTTCCCCACTGAAAAAATGTATTTAGTGGTATAATTTTTTCACCGAGAATCATTTACTCCTGTAAAACACTGTCTATACAGATGTAGGTAGATTTCTGCTGTGTTATCTCAGTCTGGGGACTATGAGTGAAGGAAGTGTGGGAGTCTAAATCAGTCATATCTGCCTAAAACCTTCCTAGATAAATGGTGTTTGGAAGCCAGGTTCTCTACTTGGCTATCTCCACTAGGGATGACTCAGCCTTCCTATTTACATGGCTTTTCTAAGAGCCCGACAGTTTAAGGTTAATCCAACTTCAAGTCTAATGTATTTTGTAGAAGCAACCACAGGAAATGTCGACTATATCATAAACCAACAGTGATTCCATTTGAATTTTATTGGTAGCTTTATGTGAAATGCTATTTTGCATTTTTTTCTGTAGGATAGGCCAACTTAAACACTAATTCTGCTACAACAAGGTCTAAGAGAAGAGGTGCATGCGGATATAATGCCAATCACCTCCATACCTCTGTTGTACATCATGCAGCTACATTTTTTGATCACACTAATCACTAATTAGAAATGATCAGCAAGCCTGTTAATGATTTTTAAAAATTTAATCTCACCACAAAGAGAAGCTTCAAATATCTGTTTGTTGAAAGCAGATAGCCACTTGTCTATGTAATTAATGCAATTTCCCGATTAAAAAGATTTTTAGGGTCATGTTCAGACCACATACATGCTATCTTTAATTAAAACAAAAAAGGAATTTATAAAAATCAGAACCAGCACTTCCTCAAAAAACCCCTTGATGTCATAGATATTGAAATTTCAATCCCTTATTCTACTTTTGTGAAAATAAGAAATTAATTAGAAGATTGATGAAGTTTTTTAAACTGTTAATATTTGACCCTTGACATACCAAATACAGTCGTCAATATCAGCGTATGCAGATAAGTGCAATAGAATATATTACATCACATCAGAGAATGAGCTCGTTAATTACAGGAAATGAAAACAATGTATACATACTATGTTAATGTTAACTGAACTAGATCTACAAAATCACAACTGCTGATACAAACATTGCTTAGACTGAAAAACTGATATATTATAATTATTCTAATTAAGGAATAATTGAAGTTCTTGTCATAAGATGATGAAGTGTAGCGTTAAATATAAATGGCAGATTGAAATCGTGACTTGGGTTGGAGGAACTGCCAAAACAGTAAGACAGTATTATCCGGGGAGACTCGCTGACATGTGGAGGAGATTGATGGAGATTATGTCGCATGCATTGCAGTGAGGATGTGCCTCCTCTCACACAATGAATCACCACTGGTGCATGTTGTCGGGGAATCTTTAAATGTTCTCAAAATCAAATTTAGGTTGTATTTCTTCCGAATTTCTCACCTTTCATAATTTGTTATTCATTACATTCATGGGAAAGGAAAATTTCCTTGTTATTTTTAGAACCCTTCATCTTCCCCCTGAAGAAACTGAAATTTGAGTATTGCATTTCTAAACAACTCCAAAAGGCCAGTTGATGGTACATTATTGATATAACTACTAACATCTGAAAACTTCTTCCAAAATGTTACTATTTCCATATATGAATGTACACTGTCAAAAACGTCAGGAGAGAATGTCAATAATATGTATTATATAAAACCACAACCAGTAGGAGGTTTAAGTGTGATGTTTCAATGACTCCAAGCAATATGATCACCTTCTTCAGACAAATGGCCAGTGCTGAGTGTACTAGCACTGATCTACATAGTGTACGAGATGGTATGGAATCAACCAACATTTTTTGGTTGTGCAATAATCCTTTTTATTTATTTCATAATGATTGTGAAACAAGTTACATTAGATTCTGTCAGTCACTGTGTTGATCAGGATGGAAGCAGCCTTAATGTTTTACTGCATGCGTAAACCTAAGATAACCTTTGAACTTATAGGTCAAACAAACGTTGTTGGTCAGATGAACATATTTTACAAGTCCTCTTGTAGAATAAAACCCCTGTAGCCCAGGTGAAAATGTGTGCTAACTTCAGGTGGCCAACAACCAGAGGAACTATACAGTATGATGGATATTTTAAACTTCAAACACCATCATTAAGTAATTTCATATTAACATGATATTATGAGCTAATCAAAAATATCTATATAGCTCAGGTTTTGGAGAACTGGTATGTAATATGAAGAGAAATTTCAATGATAAAAAGAAATAAAAAGTCAAGGTCAATACATATATACACATAAAAGTTTTTGATCCCGATCTTGATCTAACCTCGTCAAAAATTGTTTGAAGCTGCGGGATCACAACTTCAGTAGTGAGAGGTTTCATCTCTAGCCATCAAAACTTGGACATTTATCAAATATCGGTCTAGAATAGAAAATGGATCTATATTTATTTATTTTTCAATCGGAAGGAAGTACGTAGGATGAGCACGACTAGAAATGTGTAACTTAACCTGTATGATTTGGTGGGGTTCCTTTTAACTAGTTCAGCTGATCTCTAAGTTAACATACAACAATGACTTAATGAATATTTTACATCAATGTTATTGAAATCAAAGTCCAACCTGTCCCAATGAGATTTACCCGGGATACTTCAGTTGGACATATTTTCTTTGTTACTTTTTTATAGTGTAGCCATGAAGCAAAGTCTTTTCCGTATATTAGATTAGCAGACAATAGCTGAAACAATACCATAACAGCAAAGCATCTTTAAATGTGATTACATAGTAATAATTAACTTTTATATGAATTCTTGTTATAATATAACAGTGGCCAGCTT